GGTACCGGGGCACGGCCCTTCGCCTCCCTCCTCTGCCTGACTCTTAGGATGTATTGACTGTTTTCAATCACACGTCACCAGCTGGGAGGTCACACATTTCCTGTAGGAAAAAGCAGGCGCAGGGATGAACGGAGCATCAGCCAGGTGAATGGAACTTCACCGCCTTAAGTTACAGGGAGAAGGCTGGTGTCTGAATTCGGCCGTCAAAAACATCTGTTTATGGTTTCTGACCTGTGCCACTTTTCTGATGATACATCGTGAAGGTTGCTCTCACACTCCTTTCGTTTCGATATCTAAATTTAAATCTCGGTCATGGTCACACATCTGGACACACAGCTGCCCTGCTTGCAGTGCTCACGGTGGTACACTGCTGATTCTGCCTGCCCAGCAGCCTTGGCATCAGTGTGGCCATCAATGTCCTCATCCTCTAGGAACTCACAAAATCTTCAGAAGGGCCCCCATCTTTTAATTAAGTGCCTTTGTCTGGGTCAATTTGGCACTCCTGGTTCTGCTTCACAGTCACTCATGTGAGATGCAGAGCTGTGTTTCGTGTCAGGTACAAACAGGCGACGTGTGTACTTGTGATTGTGATATGTGTGGACACTGACAATGGGATAGTTGTGAATTCTAATAATAACTGAGGAAAATAAAGCATGAGAAAAGGCCTTTGAACCTATCTTTTGTTTGCAATTAACCCTGGTTTATTTAGGAGCATTGGAATTAAGGTGTTAAAGATCTTGCTTTTTGCTTGCATTTAATCCATAAAAAACTCTGCAATAATAACCTTTTGAAGTATAATTTTAGAATGTTACTTGTATCCTTGAAACTATAGCTTTAGAATATATATAAAGGAAATATGCTTATCTCACGCCTTATTGAAGCAGAGAAAAGCAGCTTGAGAAAGGAACATGAACATCACCTCAAGGGTTTATGGTTTCGACCAAGGGAAGCTGGACATCACTGTTATGAGATTTATAGTCCTTGCAATTAAAAGGTGGATGCACATCTGGGGAGCTGGACCCCACTAGATGGGATCAGTCATTCTTCTTTCGGAAACTGGACCATCACCATCTGGGGATACTCCTTTGAGATACATCCTGAGAAATTGAAATCACAATAGTGTATAGAATTGTGATGTGATAATTTGGAATAAAAATTGCTGATGAGTAAAAGATTGGAAATAGAAACTGCTGAAAAAATCTGATGAGTACCCCTCTAAATACCTGTAACCATCAATTATCGGTGTGCAGTTGGAGGGAAAACTTCCCCCACTGTACCCAGCGCTGTATTGCTCATGCTTTACCATATCAAATAATAAATTGATTGCTGCGTGAATATTGGCCTAGTCAAGCTCCTTATTCATAGCACTCAGAAGCATGCCTTAAATGGTGGCACAGCAATGATGCCAAGTGCCATCATTTCAGTCAGACTAGCAGTAGAAGGCATAGGGACTCTTACGGACGGTGGTTCTCATTAACAAAAGTCCTGCCTCCTTCCTTCTTTTGCCGGTCCTGTTCTGTTGTGCCTTTCCCCTTGTCTCATCTGACTTCCTGCTTGCTCTGTGAGATCGGGGAGGAAATGACAAAACGTAGAATCTAGACAAGCACACTGAATGGAAAAACAGCTCTACTCAGTCAGGGTACAGGTACAGGTCCATAGAGATCTATCCGTAGCTTGCCTGTGGCAGGCCATCAGCAAATGTTTATGTGAAAAATGCATATTTTATGATTGGCTTTTCTCAAATATTAAAATGAATATTATATGTGTTATGTTAGAAAATTATACTGTATTAATTTTCTTGAGTAGTGTGTTAAATATAGTTTTAGGTTATAACACAATGTTAGTATAGAAACTATGCTATGTAAGATACTTTTTTTAAAGAGAATAGAAACTATGCTATGTAAGATACTTTTTTTAAAGAGAGGACTTGGACTGAGATAGCAGCCACAGGACACCTAAATCTTTCAGAGAAAAAGAATTTATTTCTCCATTATCAGAAGAAACAAACTTTGTCCTGCCTCGCTCAACCCTGAAGATGCCGTTAGGATTCAGAGGAAGAAGCTGACACTGACCAGACAGAATCCTGTGTTTGAATGGAATTTATGCTTCATGTATGAGGTGTATGAATATGCAACAGGCTATTGCTTTTAAGGGTTAATCCTCTGTTAACGTGTGTCTTTTTTGGACTTATTTTGCACAGAAAAAGGTACCCGGACTGTCTGTAACTCTTTGGTTTTATTGTCTCATATTGTCCTAATCCTAATCATCCAAATTTTTATTAGTCTAATTATATTGCTATTTTTATAACCATTTTATTACTATTAAACTTTAAAAAAAATTTAAAAACAAGTGATTGGTGTTTTTCACAGTTTAGGAGACAACATGAGAGGCTGGAGTGTCACTTGTTCTATGGAAGTAATTCCTTAGCTTGCACTGTCTTTGTCATCCTTTCTTCCTAAGGACAGAGTTTACCTGAGGGGCAGACCTGCAGATGGGAACATTTGTCACTGACGGTCACCTGGTGGTAAGGCACATCAAAGAGAGAGATCACACACCACTGGCAGTGATTGACAGTATCACAGAACAGCTGAGGTGGAAAGAGGCCATAGGAGGTCATGTGGTCCAAACCCAAATCCAGCTGTTTCATCACTGAAAGACAATATGGGTGGAAGCCTCCTGATTTTGGTGTTTTGTCTAATGATCTCAAATTATTGGCTAGCTGTATACTGCCCCATCAGTAGGAAATCAGTCTTGAGTGAACCAAAACTCAGGGAACCCTTTAGCATAAAAAACACTGAAGCAGCAGTGTACTTGATAACTCTTGTTCCCCCCAGCATTTATATACTTTTTCTGACTCAAAATCCATCCTATCAAACCAGCTCCCAAATTTTTACATCTTAAAGATCTGTCCCTGTATCACTGTGTTGTCCAGGTAGCTTTGTTTCAACTGTATCTCCCTTTCACAATTTCTTTCCTCGTGCATCTGAAAAACCCCATTCATTTGGCAGAAATATGGCAATTTTTTAATTATAAAATTGGTATGAATGACTACACTAATGTCAACATTATATAGAGAGGAATACCAAGAAAGAAGAGCAGTGTAAGATCGGGGTTGGAGGGGTGTTTTCAGGTTGCTTTACACCCAATTCATTCCAAAGTGTTGGTGTGTGTATCACAGGGAAGTTCACAATGCTGTTTCTGCTTTGCAGGAACTCCTGAGTTTTTTGAGGCTCTATCATTCTGTCTCTTTCTCATGGAGAGCAAATGTAGAAGTATGAAAACAAACAATGGTTGATGCGGAGAGAGGGTTTGCAGAGACACCTTTGAATTACAGCACCTTCCCATGCCTGAATTCATACCCAAAATAAATCATAGCTTATTCTTTCTCACACAAGTTTCTTGCAGTTTGTTTTGTGGCATGTTCCTCAGGAAGAATAAAAGTACCCCTTTGATTTGATAGAACTTCCCCACCTATGAATTATATATAAGCAAAATTGTACTTTCTTCTTCAGAAGAAGAATTATCAGCTAACAGAAAAGTCAATTTTCATTTGTAAAATTAAGTGCCATTAGACATGAAGGGCGCCTAGGGCAAGTGGCTCCTCTTCACCTCTCAAATACTGTAAATTAAAGGTAAGGCTGTTTTTTTAAATGTCATTGTAGCATAATTGCATATGAGCTGTTCTGCCTACAGGTAAGGACTGCTGTGCACATTGGTCCTGAAATAAGCTCCCTCTAAGCAGTTCCTAAAGCTTCTGAACAGCTGCTGAACTCAGAGCTGAGTAGGGTTTTAATAATTGTGGGCTTTTAATAATTGTGGGACTTCAGATACTGCAATTTAACCATTAATCTGATGTATTGTGCTATGAAAATTTTACTTTAGAATAATTAGCAGATGTCAGTCATTAAACTAATATCTTTATTTTTAGGAACAGTTTATGGATAATTGTGTTGATTTGAACTGTGGCATCATTTCTTAATTTTCTTTGCATCAATATTCAAAATGTAGTAATTTTATGGTTTTCCTGTGAATTTTCATATGCATCTTTAAAATATCCACTCTTGTTATGGTGCATGGTGCCTCCACTTCCCACCCCATCCACGTGTTTCAGTCTTTCTCCCAGCTAGCATGGTGAAACTTCTAGCTTTATATTGTCTCTTGTGGGAGCTGAGGTAAGGAAAATTGGCAGAAGAAGACAGAATATCTTCTTGATATGTTTGCTTGCAGGGTTTTTGGTTGCCCATCAACCTACATTTAAACACTACAACCTACATTTAAACACACAATTGAGGGTTAGTTGTTGTCCCAGTGCTGGTCTGACAACATGGTTAAACACAGCTAAACTTTCCATTCTTTTGTCTGCAACTGGTTGGTTTATAATGGCATGTATTTGCTGTTTGTCAAACACATGTAGTCCATATATGTTCCTTTTCTGGGTTAAGTATACGTGTCCCATCCATCTTGGTCAAAATCAATAGAATTTTATCCCAAAGAACTGGTGTGTTGGGATTCCACGTTTAATTTGTTCTTTGCTCAGAATTGTTCTGTCTTTTATCTGAGGACCATGCAGTCTTTGGGCTTGTACAGCTGGAATCAGTCCCATCAACCTCTTGTTTCTGTGTGCTTCCTC